AGAATTGTTTTCCCCCAGTGAGAATGCATTTGAAGTGTATGAGAAGGCTTGACAAAAGAATAAAATATTTTAAGTGATCACTGTACTAGTATAAATGTATCCTACTGGGAATCCAATGTATGTATTATAAGCACTTTAATGTTTGCCGCTAATAAGCTCTTACAATGCCATCTTTTTCAGAGATTTGTCTCCCCATATTTTTTTGGTTTATGGCTTCTTTCAATTATAACAATGATCCTGGTAGAAATTAAGTAAAAAACACCACTGTGTGTTTATCCACAGTTTTAAAAGTTGCCATAAGTGTTGAGCAATTCTAATTAGCTTCAAAGGGCTACAACAAAAATAGCTAGAAATATAAGCATAGCTAGAAAATAGCATCCTGATGCTATTTTCCCAAGCAAGTCTTCCTGAACCAGAGGATGCACCAGGGAATTAACAAGCATCCAAGCCAAAGAACATCCTCCTTATGAAGCACTTTACAAGAATTAAATCAGTGTCCATCAATCTTGAGTTGAAGGCCAAGAAGTATGAGCTTAGTATAGAAATTGCATTATCTAAATAAATTTCAGAGATAAGAAGAGCAAGCCCACAGTGTTCTCTAAGTATTTAATAACAGCTACAATAAAAATGTCCATAAATTTCATCTTTAGAAGGTTTCAACATTTCACTGATATTGCTTCAATTACTGTAATACCCCTTTAAGTAATCAAGAGCAAGTAGTACCTGTCCTTGGGTAAAACTGAAGGATGAGAAAGGAAATATAATAGACTCTGGAAACTTAAAAAAAAGAAAGAAAAGAAAATGCAAAAAAAAAGAACAAATGAACAAAAGAAAGAAAAGAATCCATCATCAGAACCAGAACAAAAAACTTTGACTCTTCATCCATTCTCATTAGATGCTTTTGGTGCTTCACAATTTTGGAATAGAAGACCTTCACAACACCCAGCCCACTCATTTTTCAATCTCTTATAAATAGGGTTTTAGTTTGAAATGACACACCTGTCATATCCCTACTGCTACTATTCCAATCACTGTGCTATCCAAATATTATGCAGTGAAATGAGTAGACTTAAGCTCCATCCCCATGAGATAACCCTATAGTAGATCTAAAGTAATGTGAGTTATAAAGGAAGTTGAGTATTAATTATAACACTTGTCATTTTTTTAAAAAGTAGTGGTAGTGTGTGTAATTTTACCTCATTTTCTCATTTGCTACTTTTATTTAAATCACTTCCCAGCACTAAGCGTGTGCATAAAAGATGATTGTTCCCAATTTAACCTTTTAAATAAAGTGTATTCTATTAATTAAGTCATTACGGTCCCCTCTCTTTTCCATTATGTTTATTCATATATCTTCTGTCCTAAAGATAGACATCTATGTTACTGCATATTTTGGAGAAAGACCCCTAATTTTTATGCCTATCACCCATTTGGCTTTTCTGTACTGTTTTTTGAAATAGTGCTCTAAAGAATTTCAAATTGTCAATTAAAATAATAAGTATTCCCACTAAGAATAATAGTGTGCTCTCAGAAGTTAAGCAAGTACCATGTTTAACCTAATATGGTTGAGGAATTTGCAATACTTAAATTGGCTTAAATTTAATGGGATAACTTGTGTCTGTCAAAAAAAAAAAAGACAAATGCAAAGAAACAAAATCTTACCTTTGTATGAATCCCTTTTTCAGAATAACTGCACATAATAAGACCATATCATCTGAATACTGCATTTCCTTTTTCTTTCTTCCACTACAGATGAACTAGGAGACAGGTAAACTGAGTGGTAACCTACTGTGGATGTTGGATTATCCATGAGATAACAATTTAAAGTACTTGCCTGAAGGCATTATATTCTCTCCAGTGTTTTCTCCTCTGTTCCTTTATAATCCCAGGGAAGTGAAATCATAAATATCACCATCATCAAATGCACAACCTTGACCACTCTCACAGTTTTCATTTATCAGTAGTTTTCATTTATTGAGAAATACGCACCTGGCACAGTGCTCTGTGCTTTTGTACATTGTTTTCATTTAGTCCCACAATTCCTTGTGCAGTGTTTTTATCTAAATTTTTCACACAAGGAAACTGGTTGAAAACAACTTGCTAACTTGCCTGGTAAAGCTGAGATTCAACCCATATCTATCTTATTAGTAGCTATCATGTTATTTTGCTTTTCTATCTGGGTTCCCTTTAATAAGATGATAGTAGTCCATATTTATTAAGCACTTACTATATTATCTTCTAAGTATTTTGCACAAATTTGCACATATAATCTTCACTACAAGCCTATGGAGGAAGCTATTATCCTCTTTATATATATGATAAGATTTAGGATCAGGGAGTCAAAATAAATTGCATATGACCAGTAAGTTCCCAAGTCAGGATTTTAATTCAGGTGATTTCTCACTTGTGAAACGGGGGTGAATATATTGCTTAAACCAATGAGAATGCTAAATTTCCAAACATGTTAAACAAAATTATAGCTAACACTTGTTGACATTTATCACCACAGAAACTTCTATTAATAATATATATTCAAGCATAAAGGATAATAGTTTTCTAACATATTAAGTGTTTGTCAAGTGTTTTCTTATATTCATTCAACTCATGATTCAAAGAATATAACATTTTTCCATGACTTATCACAAGTATAGTAGAGTGGTTAAGAGTACAATGTTTAAGTTCTGGGTCCTCCATGTAGGAGGTATGCTTCAGTTCCTTTATTTGTAAAGTAAGAAGAAGAAGAAGACCTATCTTTATAGGTCATTTTGAGGATTAAATGAATTATTAGCTATAAACTGTGGAGGATAGAACCTACATATTACAAGAGCTCAATAAGTATTAGCCACTAGTGTTGTTTATTTTTTTAATCGTCATAATTTTCTAGGATTTTCTACTTGTACTGTAGATTCCACTGTAAATTTCTTTTAGACCTGAAAAGGCCTGAATTTAACCCACAGTTGAAGCCTGATGAGAATGGACTGACATTTACAACTAGAAATATGAAGAGAAGTCTGATAAGATTTTTTAAGAAGCTAATAAAATATGGGAAAATCAACAAAAAAGTAGTGTTGTTGTCTAGAAAATAAAGAAATAGCTAGAAAGAGAGGGCTAGGTGGGTTTGAGAAGATCTATGTATAATAATAACTGGGTTGGTGAAATATGGCTGAGTGGTATAGGCAAAGGAAGGAAGTGCATACCTCTCTGAGACAGCTAGCGTTAGGGAAAAGGGAGGAGGACTTTTTTTATCAGCAAAGTTCACTTCACCTTGCTCAATCCTTGAGCACCAGATTTTTATAGACTAGCATAGCCAATGGCACATAGCAAATAATGAAAAACTGTTGGGATCCCTGGGTGGCTCAGCAGTTCAGTGCTGCCCTTGGCCCAGGGTGCAATCCTAGAGTCCCGGGATCAAGTCCCCCATGTCAGGCTCACGGCATGGAGCCTGCTTCTCCCTCCTCCTGTGTCTCTGCCTCTCTCTTTCTCTGTCTATCATAAATAAATTAATTAATTTTAAAAAACTGTTGTTGAATATTGAAGTGATAATCCATGCAGAGATGCTTAAGGATGAATTAAGAACTTTGTTTTTGAGAGATACTGAGTAATAACTTTGGTGCAATGTCACTGATATTGGTTATCAGTGTCATGCCAGCCTCACAGAATGAGTCAAGAAATATTCCCTCCTCTGAATTTACTGAATTCACCAGTGAAGCCGTCTGGGTCTAGAATTTTTTCTGTGGGAAAGTTTTAACTATAAATTCATTAGGGACACCTGGGTGGTGCAGTGGTTAAATATCTGCCTTTGGCTCAGGTGGTAATCCTGGGGTCCTGGGATTGAGTCCTGCATCAGGCTCCCCGCAGGAGCCTGCTTCTCCCTCTGCCTCTGTCTCTCCCTCTCTCTGTGCTCTCATGAATAAATAAATTCATTAAAAACAAAACAACAACAAAACTATAGGGTCATTCACATTATCTGTTTCTTCCTACATAAGCTTTGGTAACTTGTGTCTTTCAAAAATTTATGTATTTCATCAGAGCCGTGTTAATCTGGGGTTATTTTTTTTTCCACTACTGAAGCAAGGTTCTTCATCTTCTTCAAGGCCCTGAATTATGAATATTTTCTCTGGCAATTGGGACTAGGCACTGTTCCCAGCCATATGTGAACTTCATACACTCTTCCCATTAAACTTTTGGGTGATTCTTTCCCAGGTCTTGGGTAGTTTCCTCACATGTTTGTGATCATCAGTATATTCATCTAAATACATGAGAAGATCCTCAGCAGATCTCAGCAAGAGTTCTGGATAAGTCTTTCCTCTCTGGTTCTCTGCCTTCAAACGTCATCTGCCTTGGCTTCCCTGGACATCAACATTATGTGCTCAGGCTGGGACGTCACTAAGTTCTGCTCTGTTTCCCTCCCTCTGCCACAATCTGGAAAATTTCTCCAGACAGTAAGCTAGTGCACTTATAGGAGTCACCTCACTCGTTTTCCGTCTCTGCTGCCTAACGTCTAATTCCTGGATTGCCATTGTTTCATGTTTATATGTTTAATTCTTTTTTCAAGAGGGATTGTAAATTTCTTCCCTTTTACTCCAGATATAGAAGTCCAGTCCTTGAGTACTGAATATATATATTCCACACAAAGAATTTTATCATGTATTATACATCCCTAGACCCATGAGTTTAATTCCTCCTTTTGCAGGCATGAAAACAATTGCCCAAGTAACAGAGCTGAAAATTGCCCAAGTAACAGAGCTGAAAGTCTTGAAAATTAGAAGAAAATAAAATTATATTCATAGATGAACTAATATAAATATATTTCTTCATAGCTGCCTTTAAAATATCTACCAATAGAAATGAGGTATGCCAGGTAGGCCAGGGAACATTTTTTTCTCACTTTTTTTTTCCAGTAAAAGATTTAACTTCTTATGACTCTATTTCAATTTATTGTTCAAAAAATGCCTGATTTACAAGCAGGCCTGATCCTTGTCTCTTTTATTTCTTCTCAGTGCCAGATGAAAGCAAAGTCCACTCATTGGCTGGTCACAAATCGGGTAAGAAACTCCTCGTAACTGACTTTATATTCTCCTTCCTGGAAATTGCTGGCTGTATTTGAGTAGCAGTTGGAACCTATTTCCATCCACTAGTCACTGAAAGGCTTGCTAATTAATACATGAGATGTCTCTGACTTCCACAAAGATGAATTATTGCTTGGCTGTGTGAGTAGTGGCATAATGTATGCTGACTCAAGATGTTTGAGAGGAAAGGATAAGGGTTTCCAAAAACTAATAATTATAAAACCAAAAATTTTAAACCTGTTAGCCAGCTGAACACTTAAAACAACAAAAAAAATTATAAGGAGAATCCAAGAAAGTTTGAAACTCTTTCCTATGATGACTTTCACATTACAGTGGCAGAACAAAGAGCTCCAGAACAAGAAAAATGTAGTCATTCCCCCCTCAAAAAAGAATAGCCTTTTTGCTTGTCATCAAAGAGGATCACACCCAAGATGGCTATATGATCTTTAATTTAGACTGAGGATTATCTTTCTTTAGACTGAGGAATGAACTCCCTCATTCCCAGAGGTTCTCCAGGAAGTCCACAAGGATCTCTGAGGGTTTCCTGGGTCTTTCTCTGTTTTGTGGAAGATACCTTCAGGTCGAAAATCCAAGCTTTCCCTTCAATGCCACGTGGTCTGCTTCTCCCTTTGCTCTTCATCATTGCCTTCTCACATTAGTTGAAAACACTTAAAGCTTACCAAGCTTGCAAATACTACAGTGATCCCTTTCATCTATGGATGTGTTATTTGGGGAAGAATATCCATTTTAGTCTTAGGCTTGCCACTCCAAATAACAGAAAAATTACAGTTTGTTGACATCTCCCTGTTTCTGAAACAAAGAAAGGCTTTCCCGTCACCAAGTGTCTCCTGTGTTTATGTGCTAATTATGTTTCCAGCAGTAAGTGGCCTTGATGCCTCATTACTTCCAATCATGTTCCAGGGCAAGATTATGATTTTTTTTTCTTTTTTTCTTTCTCCATATTCTTTTGTGATAACAGCAGGGAAGGGATGGTTCACAACTCTTAGATTTTTTTTTTTCTTTTCTGCTGCTCCCAGTAAAGAGCCTAAGAGGTTAGATCACCGTGAAAGAAAAGATTTCTCTGAGAGTGATAAACTGCTGCGTGCTGCTTTTCCCCATCATCCTTTTCCATTAAATTCTCTACTACTGGAAATATTTTTCGGAGCCTGCAAAGGAAGTTCTCATGACCAAGGAACCCCAAGGATAGCTTATATTATTTTCATCTTCAATACATCTTAAATTGTACTTCTTATCACCAGTTCTATTACACAGATTAATACTTGAAGATTGAAGACTTTTTATGTACTGGGATAGGCTTCAAAGTAAAAAAAAAAAAAATGAAAGCAGTTTTTAAGACTTATATAAATTTGGTATTTAAAAATGAGCAAATGAACTTTCTGATTTTTCTCTCAGAAAATCAAATCTTATTCTGATTGCAATTTCCAAACAAATTTCTGACTAATATTTTTGCCACTCTTTTTACATGAGAACATTGTTACCTTTGTGTATCACTACAGTATTTTACTAAATTGCATGATATGTTTTTAGATAGTATGATATAAAACATGTTAATAAAGAATTATCCTAGGTATGAAATTTGAAATAATTTCTAAATTTTTAAAAAATGACAAAAATGGCATAATTTTAAACCTGTCAGGTTCATTGTAAGCTCCACATGGCAGTCTTACTCTAGCTGGTTGATAAAAATAGTACCAATAGTCTTTATGTCATATGAACCATGCTGTTTAAATATATCAGGTGTTTTAAAGATTTCTGGTTATAGTGACTGCTAGTACAGTACTACCATTTTATATTTCGGAGTACTCATATACCCTATCACAGTGTCACTGAGCTTTTCACTGACCATCTGTGGAATCAGTGCAAATGCTAAGAACAACCAGAAAATTGCTAACTCTAGAGCAAAAGTGGTATATGAGAAAACACAATAAAGAGGGTTTACCAATCACCTAAAATTATACATTCTAGAATTACATTAAGCGAGAGCACTTTAAAACGTTAGAGACCATTCTGAGAAAATACAAAGCAGCATTAAAGAAAAATCTAAACTAAGGTTATAAATTTATATACTCCAAGGATATATTCTTCCCCCATTTTTTATATTTATTTCTTTTGGAAAATTTTTCTTGAATATAAAATTCTCAAAAAACTCCTCCTTCACATAATATTCAACTCCCCTAAGCATGCCCCATTTATGCAGAGCAATTTCTGAGGAGGTGGCCATGATGGTAAAAGAGGATTAAGGGTCCTTTTGATTCTGGTAACACCTTTCATTTACACAAATCATCTTAAAAATTCACCTAATATGTAGTCTCAATCTGGTACAGTCTGTGATCACTAACCAAGTTATAGTGTAATGGAGTATAATGTCTAATGTTCCATGATCATACTTGTCTTGCCAGTGTTAAAAGAGATCATTCAGTGTCTTTTTGTTTCACCTTTCCCTTCCCAAATCTTTCCTCCAGCATATTTAAGTAAAAAGGTGACATCTCTTTTGCTAAAAAGGAAGAGTACCTTCCTCTGTCTCTTTTTAATTACAGAAATGTGGGCAGCCTTCATAATATCCAAGACCATCAGGAAGTTAAATTAAATTGTATATACTGACCTAAATCTATCACCCATCTTCGTATTTGGGATGATATTCAACATTTTAATAAATTCATCTGAGTTAAAGTTTCTTCTGAGTCAGCTACTTAGTGTGTAGAGAGCCATATCGTGCCAAGTTCCATCTGTTGGTCTGGCTTGGGTACCTCCCAAATTTGTGACAATATTTTTGGCACCCTTTCCTTGGCTTAATCTTTAAATGGTTGATTCTTCAAAGCTCAGATCAAATCAAAGGCTCAGGCAAGATCAATCTTTCTAATACTTTTGGCCTAAAATGTAGTGTCCCCCTTACCCCTTCTGAAATCAATTCAGTATTCTTGAGATTTTTCTAATGGCCGACCTCAGGGGTTCCTCTGGGAGTGCTGCATCTCATACCTTAGCTGGGAAGCAGGCGGGATATTCTCCTCTTGTCAATCTTGTGAGGTCCTTCTCCGTGTAAGAGAAGTATCAGTACCTATGGAATGGTGAGACCTACCCAGAGAGGTTAAGAACAAAATCCCTTGAATTGGTTCCTTTAGGAAAATTCAGAAGTTTCAGAGAGGCTGAAAAATTAAAAATGCATCTTTCACCTCTTTCCTTATTAACTGAATTCTGACGAAATCCAAATCTTAGTAAATGCAGAGGGTTAAAAACACCTTTCAGCCCAATGTATATTTTAAGCAATGAAACCATTTTTTAATGATTTCAGTATTCTGAGGGAAAATTAGAATCCAAAGAAAATTACATCAAATTTGAAATAGCTTTTTTTAAAATTATGCTTAAATTTTGATTCTACAGATTCATAAACCATACCTGAGAAGGAATCATTTCTTCCCCGCCCCCACCTACATACTGAGCTGACACCTAAACTAATAGTTTAAGGCTCTTCAACATCTAGTCAGAAAGGACTTATAAATTTTACTTTTTTACTATGTCTTAATTTTTTTGTTTTGATTTACTGCTTGGAACTGTTTTAATATGTATTGACTGTCTGCAGAGATCTTTGCTGACCCAGCTCTTTAAGATGATGCAGTACTGAAGAAAGCCGATGAGTTCTTCTTTATGAGCTCTGACATATTAATTAGCAAAATGGACTAAAAAGCTTTCCTATTTCTATTTTAATTTCTTACATTCTCAAACACCTGTCTATATAGCTGTAAAACAGGCAAGTCTGTAAAAGTAATGGTTGGCAGTAAGTCCAGACCTTTTCTGAGATAAGTTTATCAATTAATGAGCAAATATTCATTAACAGTCTAGGGGCATATCTTTGTATAGGTGCCTTGCAGCCATTAAGTATGTGGGATATCTTAACACATTTTACTGGTAAGGAAGCTGAAGTTCAGGGCATTTAAATACTTGTTCTCATAGCTAGCTAGTATGGGTGAGGTTATCAACCCAGATACTGTGTGGTAAAGCCTATGTTTTGGCCAGTTCATTTTCAGCAGCATGCGCCTAACACTTCAATCCCAGAGACTGAGAAGAACACAGTTCTAGTGAGAAGACATGACACACACTCTGGAATATCCCATAAATTCTTACCTTTTGTAACCTCCAACTGAACAAGAGACACCATAAATAGAATTTCTCTAGCAAACAATTGTAACTCAATGAGCATGAGAGGGACAATCTAATCTGGTCATTCTTGACATTGTTTCTCTGCATATATATATATATACACACACACATGCACAAAAGTATGGGCCAAGTTAAGAGATGTATAAGAGAGAAAACAGGCATGTGATGTGCATGTATTATGTATGAATTACAGCAAATGTGCATGTGATCGGGTGTATCCTTATGGCAGAGGCTGAAAGTTTAATATGCAAGTTGCTAACTTGGCAGACCTTACATTCTGTTCTGAATGCATTGTGTGTAAACTTTATATTTAGAATTTTCAAGTGTGGCCAAAGAAATCTCTAGATCTTTCCAAAGAAATAGAGCTCTTAAAAACATAAGGTGATCAAATAGTCACTTTAATACAAGAGCAATGTGCTATTAAATGACATTTCATAAATTTTGTTGAGTATGCATTTTAAATTTGGAGCACCAACTATGATCATTTTTCATGAGTCTGAATTGGATTATTGCCTTTCTTGACTTTTTATTGATATTTTGGATGAGGAACTAAATCTTAGCATTAGTGGGCAGTAGACTTAAACTCTTTCTTTCCTTGTCAGTTGGTTAAGGTAACACTATACAGTTATATTTGGACAAAGATCTTTATTAGGTACTTTCTAAGCTTTTGTTATTTGTTATGTTGGAAAACATATAGCTTTAGACACAGGAAATATATACATTCTTACATCCTCCAGCTCGGTTTATGTTTCTATGGGATTCAGGATATTATTTTAAAAAGTACCAATATGTATAGGATT